CTCTCATTAGTTGGTAACAGTTATAAATACAGTTATATATTATATATTATTATATATTATATATTATTATATAATTTATGGTACATTTAACTAGACTGTAAAATAAACACCTTTTACGAAACCTGATATAAAGTGAAATTTAAACCATATAAACATATTCTAAGGCTATGAAAAACAACAAATAAATTTGAAGGGGCTATTGGATAGATTTGCAGTCAAGACCTGGTGCTATGGGTATTGGGGGAGGCTATAGCTCTATAATGCCTTAGTCGTAGCATATTCTGAACAGCTTTCACATAACCCATAAAATTTAGTCTTATATTTATATATTCTTGTTTTGCTGCATATTAAAGATGCATATAAACAGCATCTGTGTGCGTTTGTGTGTGTGTGTGTGTGTGCGTGTGTATGGTACTTATGCTATATTTATTTGGTTTTATTTGGCCGCGCTTTGCTCATTGTGAATTGCGCTTTTGCGCTTTGGCGCTGCGCGTCTGTCGTTATGCAAACTGCCAAATACTAAAATTTTATTGCATATTTCATTAGACTTTTGGCAGCATGTTATATTTTAAAGCAAACACCACACACACACGCACACACCCATACACACTCTTCCATTTACTGACAATATTTCAAATGGTTTTTTGTTGCTGTTGGCACTGCGACTATTTCGACCATTTGTGCCACTGTCAATAAATTCGATTTTCGATTTGTGATTCGCGATTTGCGATCTGTGCGGGCGTATTTACTAAACTAGTTTATTTATTTTCATTTTTTTTTTTTTCATTTATATTTTTTTTTATTTTTATTTTACGACTCGTATAGCCCTGTCAATTCAGCGAGTTGACACTTTCTGTTGCCTGCTTTTTTGAAGCGTCGCTCGGCATTTGAATTTATGAGTTTGGCTAGTAAAGCGCGCAGGTGGTAATTTTGTGGCCAGAGCGACAAACAGTTAATAAATAAATAAATTGTCAGCTAAACTGATGCGCTTCACAAATATGGAATGCACAAACACTTCAATTTATAAATGTATAAACAAACTGGCAATTATTGTTTGCATTTATAAATTGTGGGGAAAAATCTCATTGCTATTGTTGTTGGCAATGAGCGATATTATTATCAGTCTGATTATTATTAAAGTTTCGTTTTGTGCATATGTGCAATCAATTTCGTATTAATTTGGCGACCAAACATAAATCGTTCGGGCAATTTCAATAAGCCAAAAAGCCAAATGGAAAATTATATGGTATTTCCACAAAACTTAAATATTCATTTGCTATTACAATATTTTACGAGCTGGCCGAGCAATTTGTTCTGAAAGAACCCGACGCCGTTCGCCTGCCCCACTCCCCTCCCCCTCAAGGCACTTCTATTGACATTTGAGTTTATTTTCGGGAGGTCTTTTGCAATCAAAAGCAAGCAAGTCAACAATAAAATGCAAATAAATATTGCAGTTGCACACACAAACACACACACACAGACATAGTTGTGCATCTGTATATGTTTGTGTGTTTGTTTGTTTTTGTTTATATGCTTATTCCCTTAGTGAATTTCCAAAATGTCAAGTAACCAAATAAACGTTCGAGGCCAGGACGTTTGTTTGTTTAAATATAGATAAATGCCAGTGACATTTATACAAACACATACCCACACACACACACACACGCATTTGCATGCACACACACATTCGTTGCATAATCAGAAGTCTGTATGTATTGTGAGGCAAGTGGCTTTTGGGCTCTTGAAGTGATGGGCATTAAGCTGTTGAGGGCGTTTGCTCTGGCCGGCAATTGAGACACTTTTCTATGCAACGGATTTGTGGGCTTTTGCGCAATTTCGATTGCGCAATCATAATAAATATGCATCATATACGTTTTCAAATTGTTTTGCACCAAAAGTCATAAATCAGTTCGAGAATGAATGAAGACTAGGAGAGACAGGCAATTGTGACACTGAAGTGAGACGGATGTACATGAATAGAAAAAGAAAAAAAATATATATATAGGAGAGTGAGCTGGTGAGAGAGAGAAAGAGAGAGAGATAAAGAGAGAGAAAGCAGGAATATGAATTTATATGAAATTTATTAGGTTCACCAAAAAAAGATTGACAATATTAAGAGTGAGAGGGAGAGAGAGTATGAGAGAGGGAGAGAGAGAGAGAGATAGACTGGAAAATTCTACGGAAGTGAGACAAGTAGACCAAAAAAGAGATAGGGAGGGGGAGGGTGCGAAAAATAGACTGAAGAGGGACAGATGAAACACAGTTAGTTATGAAGAGAGATAGAGAGGTAGATAGTGGGTAGAGAGATGCAAACTAAGAGATATATATAGAGAGAGAGAGAGTTACTCGCTCTCGTGTAAATTAGAGGTATTGTAACTGCTCCTAAAATCAAAGGGAAATATCTTAAGAAGTGTTAGAATGAGTAATAGTATAATTAAAACTAGTTAGAAAGTCATTGAGAAAGAGAGACAATTAATTGAAAGATGGCTGACGACAGGAAGGAAAAGAGCAGTCTTACAGCAAGTATTAAAAGGTGATGTAAAGGTACTAGGAAGTGAGTAAAATATGTAAGAGTTAGGGAAAGCACAAGAAGGAGAAGACGTTATACTGTGAGAAGAGACAGACTTTAACATAATCAACAGTTTCATAACATGAGTATAAGCATTCCATTCCAATTGTTTCCCCCACTGATTCCCATAGCATATCTCATCTCCTGTTTTTTTTCACATTTTACATCATTTTACACTCGTTGCTTTTCTCTAGAGGAGAAACTGTTTTGGGGAATGTTGCTGCTGCAATTTTGCATGCTTAGGCTGCTCACACGCTCACGCACACACACAATGCCATTCACACGCATGCACACTTATATAAACACTATACACACACACATACACACACACTCAAACACGTTGTAGGTACATTTGATTTGCATTCCGCTTGGCCCCAACACAACGTTTGCTAAGTCGTCTTAAGCACACGCTGCACATAACTGTCGACGTCGACGTCAACGTCCAGCACACAAACAGACACACATTGGGACTGTGTGTACGTGTGTGTGTGTGTGCATTTCATAAGCTGCCTGGAATATATATGCTTGAATGCTTCAACGCACACTTACCTCCCAGAAGCCATTTCCGGCGCTGGTCGTGACGTCACTGTAGGCCAACACAGCGCCTGGGCGGCTGCTGCGGAAATCGAATTTAATATTAAATTCTTGGGCATGATTTATGGGCCACCAAATGTGTGATGTCGCAAAGGGATAGGTGATGGGTATGACATTCACTTCGTTCTCAAAGAATTCGGCCTCCAGGACACCTGTAACGAGCGAAATGTTAACATTGAAATGCTCTGGATCACAATGGAAGAGAAAACTGAGAAGTTGATAGATATGTGGACTATTGAATGCCCTAGCTGAGTAGATAAAAGAATTTAGTATAGTAGAATATATTATAGTAAATTAGAGCATAATCTATTCAAGCATCCCATCTCAACATTATCATCTCCTTGATAGGGTATTTACCCACATGCCGACAGTTTTCACTTGTTACACAATATTAAATTCTTGTCATAGCTCAGCTCTTCTTCGTTTGGGCCTTACTCACCATGATAGTGAACCTTGGGATTGCCGCGCTGCAGTTCATAGAGTATGGATATGTCATTGTAGTAGACATACTTTAGGCTGCCCACGAAATTGTTGTGCGAGATGAGGCCCTTCTTTTTGTTCAGCTCGGGCCCGCCGCCAAAATAGATTTCCGGATCGAACAACAGATTGCCACTGGCTGTGGCCGGCAGCTCCAATATCTTTTGCTGTTGATCCAATATGATGCGCACAGTGCGCTGCTCATGGAGTATGGTTAGATTGTGCCAATAGCCGCGCGTTAGGTCATCCGTTAGTGTGGTGGACATGACATTGTCCCCGAAATCCATTTCCACATGTATCGATTGATTCTTGATGGCGGCGGCTATATACTGATGCTTCAACGACTCTCCGCTCGCATAGAACAGCGCTGAGTCATCGAAGTTGGTTCGAAATATCATGCTGATGCGTATGGTATTGGAGTGCACACGGTCTTTCCAGTCGTAGATGCGATAGGCAACGTAGCTGGCACCGCGTAGCGTTATAATTGTGGCAGCTAAAACGAGAAAGATGGGTGAGAGGGGGTCAAAATGGAGATGCACATGTGGATATATATATAGTAGAGTCTACCCTAGGCATTTCGAGGAGAAACGAGACTCTTAGGGGTTCTTCTGTATACGAGGGAAGTAGCTCAACATTCTCTTGAAGCTATCTCTTGCTCTCTCTTTTTTATCGTCAGATAAACTCAATCTCTCTTCGGCTATTTTTGGCATATAGGTAAATTGTTCTCGGAAACCAAAACCTTTTTAAACTTTTCCACTTGCTCACTTAATTCGGCTGTTGGCATATTTGCAGTTGCCTGCCATTTGCTGGGCTCGCAGCTTGCCACAAAAAAGTCCAAGCAAATTTAAACAACTTTGCTCTGGCAATTTTTTGTTGCCGTCTGTTTCGCCGTTTGCCGGTGTGGCATTGTCCTTGCTGCATTATCTGCATGCTGCACAAAAAAAAAAAAAAAAAAAAAAAAAAGAAAAAAAAAAAAACCCCGAAAAAAAAAAAAAAAAAAAAAAAAAAAAGCGAAAAAAAAATACCCCGAACAAACAGAAACAAAAACGTCGAGTGTCGGCACGGAAATAGATTATATTGTTTGGACCATGGCTGCGCTGCCCTCCAGGCGTTTATGCCCGCCTACGCCGCCTACACTCGTGCAAAAGTGCAAATCGTGTTGCACGCCGTTATTTCAGTGTTGCTGTTGCTGTTGTTGTTGTTGTTGCGGTTGCTTTTGCGTCGCAGTGACAGTAAAATGCCTGGCGAGCTTATCTCTGACACATTTTCGCGCTCACACACACACACACACACACACACAACTACACAGGCACACGTGAGAGGCGGCCGGCCACGCCCAGTCGATAACGCAATGCAGGCATATACTTTATAATTTTTATGTGCTTGGAGCAGAATTTGGCGCAGAAGAGCATGCTATAAACATGAAAACGCCCCGCTCTGGCGTCCACCTAGAGCAATCCACATTTAACTATCTCAATGCCCTTGGTGGGCTTGCCACGCCGCGTGCCAAAGTCCCGGCAGATCTCCAGCAGGCGCAAACCCTTCAGAACAACACCGAAGCACACTCGCTGCAGCGGCATCACCGCCAGCGTCTTGAAGCTAATCGTATAGACCAGCAGGCCGTTGGGGAAACGCTGACGATGATCCCACGAATAGGAGAGCAGGCCCTTCGTTCGCCGTGCATCCAGCGGCGATGGATGATCGTGATGGTTCTTGAGCGCATCTTTCGATTGCGGCATCAGCTGACCCTCCAGCCAGAGGTCCGGAAAGATGCGCGTGAATTTGTGCGCCTGGACATCGTTCTCGGTGGCCAGGCGCACAAACTCCAGCACAACCTCCGGGCTGACCTCGGTGTACAGCTGAATGCAAATGCGGCCCAGGGGATGATTCGGACGCACTGCCATTTCGAAGTAGATGATCGGACGGAGTAGCTCCTTGGCCGAATGCTTGGGCGTCCTGCCCAGCTGCATTGGCCGCGGCATATAGGAGCTATATTTACGCACTATATCATCGAAGCGATGTGGATCGCTAACGGCCGCAGTTGGACGCCAAGGATTGAATGAATTAACCTTGGACTTTACGCTCAGCAGGCGGCAGCCCAAGCGACTGTTGGCTTTGATTAGCCCAATCGCCTTCTCCCTCAGCATCACGTTATTTTGTTTGGGCGAACGGAACTCGCGAGTGAAACTGTCCAAGTAGCCCCTTACCCTGTAAATTTCATTTAAGCGGCACAGCAGCGAGAGATTGCTGCGTAGGATATTCTGCTTCATCTCCAGGACATTGTACATGCTATTGAAGTCCATCCGATTGGTCGTGTTATTTAGTTTCAGTTGCGAGGTTATCTCCGACTCGACATTCTCCAGCACATTCCGATCCAGTCGGCGGCGATGCAGATCCTTGAAGCTCTCATAGACATTCAGTTGTCGCGTCTGAAGGCCCGTGCTGCTCTTGCCGTGAATGCCATGGACCAGCTTTCTGAACTCACTGTAGGTGGGCGCGCGCAGCTCGGAGAGATTTTGTGAGACCTGCTCCTCGTGGCGCAACAGATCGTTGGCCAGGCGATCGGCTTGCATGCGACGGGCCCTGGGCGTGGGCACATTCACAGCGAACTCCGAGTAGGTCAATTGGCGTAAGTTCATCTTCACAATTTGCGATAGCTAATCGAGGTAAATTATTGAATTGAAACACGAGAATAACAGAGAATAACCAGAGAGCTATCTCCATGAATAGTTGATAGCAAAGTTGAAAGTTTCGCCTGTGTGGCGCGTGCTAAATCTTCTTGCCTCTGACATTTGTGATTGGAATGCTTAAGGCGAAAATTCAAGAATTTGTCAAGCGAGCTGAAGAATTGAATTGTCAAAATGCATTAGGAGAGCATATTTTAAACATGAAATTTTATAATCGCTTTTGTCGCTTTAATACCAAAGCTGTAATACCCTGCAGTGGCTGGGCGTGTAGAAGAGGGTAGCTTATGGAGCAGAGGGCGCGTATTTACAGTTGCTTAAATAGTTAGTGGAGACTGACTAGGCATGCCAATGCATGGACTTTAGAGTATATACATACATATATAGGTTTATATAACGGTATTTTGCTTATACAATATATCAACTGTTAATTAATTAATCGTGAATGAAGAAGCCCGCAAATATAATTTCTATAAAAATTTCTATATATAAACAAAAATTTCTATATGTAAATAAATACAGCCTCATTACATTTACAGGGTATGTGGCCTGCCCACACTGCACAGCTAATTGAAAATCAGTTTGTAGCTACAACATTTACAGCTAAGCAACATTTACAGCCTCGATGTTTTAGCTGTTTTTGTCTGTTGCCGAGTTGACTGTCAGCCGGCTGACAGCTGAACCAAAGTTGAGCTGAATGGAGCGTTGGGCAAACCACGTTTGACAGCAGCACCGCCTCGCCAAACAGGCTGCAGCTGCTCCGATTTCATACCGGCCGCATATATAGCTGGACCAACAGAAACCAAAACAGTGAACAAAAAAAAAATCGAAAATCTGGCAGTCAGTTGCAAAGAATTTTCATGGCTGGGCTAATGATTTTCACGCTGTTCACATTTCGTTGACTCTGGCACATCGAAAGGGGGTCGGCCGGTTATGCAGTGGAATGTTGGTACAGTGTAGTACAAATAGACATAGAGACAGACAGTAGTAGAGAAAGAGAAACAGAGTGAGAGGGAGAGAGAGACAGTGGGCTGTCATTTTAGTTATTGCATTACAGGAACCGTCTGCGTTTGATTATGTCGCACGTTCATGTTTTTACCTACGGGCACAGCTGTATGCCCTTCACAACCATTTTTAATGGCTCCGACACTGTTTCCGTTGCAGCAGGAGCAGCAGTAGCAGGAGCAGCAGCAGCAGCAGGAGCAGCAAGAGCAACCGAAATGTTGACAACTGCAACATGCAACTAACGACGAGCGCTCTGTGGGTCGAGTTCGGAGTCTCGCAGACTACAACTGTGCAATTTGCTAGCACTTGCCAGCTCTCTTTTGCTCTTATACTTCTGCTCTCTCTCCCTCTCTATCTCTCTTTCTATCTCTTTCGCTCTGCCTGTGTGTAATTGTGATCGGTGGCAGCGACCGTAAATGCTCGACAAACTCGCACGTCACGGTGCCATTTGTCCTTGACAGACGCCATTTAGAGAGCGTATTTCCAAAATGGCTGCCACATGCCGTTAGCCCTGCCAGAAATTGTGCAATTTGCAGCTGTCCATTGGCTCAATTTCGAGTTTTCGCGCTTTCATTAGAGAATTTTGTTTGTTTTTTTTTTAATGCTCGGATATGCTGCATTAAGTGAATTGAAGTTGGGTATATTGGTTGATATGACTCTCCCAGGAGAACACATATGCACTCTAACTACTATTGTTTGAGATGAGTTAAAGAGAGAAAGAGAGAGATTGAGTGTATGTATATTTTATATACTCAAAAATATCACGCATAAATTACATTTTATAAACCAGAATAGATAATACAATACCCTGTTTGGCATATATAATATGGGCATATTGGTTCATGTAGAAAGGAGAGTGAGAGATACAGATCGAGAGGGAGAGAGATAAAGCGTGCGAGAGAGAGTGAGAGATAGGAGAGGGAGAGCAAAAGAGAGACAGGCACACAGATTAGGAAAGACTGAGACTTTTTGATATTGAAGACGGGGTATATATCATAATATATGTATATTAGAGTTATATCTAAAGATTTAGTTAAGATGTCTATGAGCTAAAGGACAAATATATATACATATATGTATATATGTATATTCAATTTATTTATTACAATTTATTACAATTTATTCATTTTTCTATACTGCCTAAATAGAGCAATTCCTAGTCCATTGTATATTTCGTATTTTTACATCTACACGCCAGATTTTTTATATTAAGCAATTGTTGTTTCTCTTGTTTTTGTTGTTGTGTCATATTTGCATTTGAATTTGAGTGAAAAGTCAGAGCTTTGGCTAAGCAGCTTATCGAAATACCCTTACTATTGTCAAACTGAATGTACTATTAAATTAAGTTGAGCTATTACACAGCTAGAAACTTAATCAATCTTCAATTAATGGAAGATATTATTAATAAATACATCAAAATTTAAGCCCACTATAATTAAAACCTATATAAATATTCTAACATTTCCACTCCAACAGTGTATTTGCATATTCGGCTATGCCTAATCCAGCACACTCTAATGTCTACACAAAAAATAACATAAACGTGCTGCTCAATTTTTAATGGCTTTGGCATTTTTAATGGGCTCGCGTGACTTAATTGGAATTATGCCGGCATGGAATTGGCTTTATGTCATTAACTAAATGCCTGCCAAAACGGCCAAATGACAGCGTGGCTGGTGCGGGAGGCAGTGCGGGTGAAATGTGTGTGGGATAGTATATGGGTAAGTGTGACAAAGACCAGTTAGTTATATTTGAAGCTCAACAAACTAATTTTGCGCACATTTTGCCCGGCAGTCAAAAAGTCAAACACTATTTTGCATAATTTATGGTCAGGTCATTAGCGTGTTTAGAAACTACAGCCACGGGCGAGACGGACGAGAGGGTACGACGGACGCTAGCCCGCAGGGAGAACGGACTGTTAACCGCAAGCAAACAAACATAGTTTATAATTAAAACAAAATGGCGCTGGCTTCGAGCCCCCATGTCCATTGCTGCCACAATGTCTGACCAGTCAAACCAGAGACAGAGAAAGAGAGAGAGAGAGAGAGAGAGAGAGAGAGAGCTGGAGAAACAGCAACAAGCACAAATTTCAACTCACACTCACTCAGCGAAAAGAAAAGTTGTGAAATGCTCGAATTCTAAGAAAATGTTTTATAATTGAAATATGAACTTGGGCGGAACGGCCTCCAGGCAAAATGTCAATTCACTTTAATTAGTAATTTATAATAATTAATTCAGTCTTAAATTTCTTAACGATCGCATCAATTTTTATTTTGCTATAAAAATTATTTGTTTTGCGAAGAAGCAGAGTCCTACACACTCTCCCACTCCCATCAATACACTCTTATACTCCCCCATAGACGTAGTCGTCGTCATACTCACTATAAATGTCACAGTGCTCGCCCTCGTATTGGGTGCCGAAGCAGTCGCATGAGATGCCCGCATAGTGGTTGATGCAGCGCGAGCCGACAAAGCACAGATTGTGATTCGAGGAGTCGCACATGTCGGCGCAGCCTTCGTTGACGTTCTCGTGCTTGGTGGCCACCAGTGGGACAATGGGCAGCAGATCGGATGCCGCCTTCCCGGAGCTGAGTACCACATTGCGAATGCAGCCGACAAACGATTCGGTAATATATTTAACGCCATGCAGCTTCTCCTCGGACGAGAGGCCTGTGAGTATATGAAATGTGGAATTAGAATCTGAGTATTCAGCGAGGGCTTAAAGTTTGGACGGGACAGCTGACCAACACACACACAGACAGACACACATGCCAACAAGATTAATTAACGAGAGCAAAATATTTGCAAGCGGATTTTAGTTGGGTGTGCTCTAAAAAATAAATATATATAGAGTATAAACATACATATTTATATATGTATGTTGTGTACCGTATAGAAACATTTTGTTTACAGCCGAAAAGTTTCGATGGATGCGCTTTAAATATTGTTTAATTAAAAAAGTTGCTCGCCCAAATGAGTTGATGTTTTCACAGTATTTATATATTTTTGGGCCAACAGCTAAAAACTAAGCCCAACTGTAAAGTTAATTGAAAATTTAGGTATTGATGCAGGCATGCCTAGTTATCTATTAAAAACTCGTTTGATTTTGTAATTAATTTGAGCTAAAAGCTTCTCTCAAATTGTTTATGCTTCACAAATATTTTATTTGATCTGCATTTGGTTTCATCTGCACAACGATTTATGAAATGCTGCCTTTGCAAACATTTTCCATTGTTTGAGCTTGGACTACACCACCTCCTGCACTGCCCTGCCCTGCTCTGCCCTCCCCTCACATACGCCTTTTTCAGCTTTTTGCAATCAATGACGCATTCCGTGAACATTTCATGAGCTCGTCATGAGTTTTTTCAGCTTTTGAGCACGTCAAATAATTAAATTTTCACATGGCACACAAAAGCGGCTCTCAAAGTCACAAACACATGCAAACAGATTTATATGCGCACACATATACGCACACAACTATACCTGCTGCATGCACAGTTCATTCAATGAGCAAATGAGCAAGTGCTGCAGTGTTTGTGTGTGTGAGTGCCATTGTGTGTGAGTGTGTGAGTGAGCCTCTCTGTATCGTCTATCGAATACGAAATTCGATTTAAAATTTTCATTTTTAGATTTGACGCATAAAAAATGTTTTTGTTCTTTAGTTCAGAGTGCTCGAAGCTTAAAGGCAGAGTCGGCTTTATATAAACAATATATATATATATATATATATATATATAAATATATTTTTTTTTTCTGAGCAGCTTAAGCACAAGTTTATATATATTTCTGCATGTTTACTAAGTTGTTCTATGCTTTTTATATCTTTGTATAAATAAAAGCTTTCAACAAATAATTTTATTTTCTCTTCTCTTTTTATTATTATTTATTTATTTTTATTTTATTTTATTTATTTATTTATTTATATATTTTTTTTTTTTGCTGAGTAAACTTTTTAGCAAATCTTATCTGCATAAGAATATTCCACTTATGATTTCAAATGAATATACATATATATATTTTTTTTTATACATTTTCCACCTGTTCTAATT